TGCACAAGTCCAAGAAGGGGCATCGCAGACTGGGAGCGCGCAGGACGACACGTACCTGCGCGAACGTTTCGGAGACTCTGGTCCGGAAGGACGACACAGCGGCGAAGCAGGGGGCTATGTCCCCCAAGAGGCGAGAGTAGCCGCTGCTCACAATTCAGGTGGTTTTAGTAGCACCATAGGAGGTGGTGCTGCTGCCTTCTTTGCCGGCGGCTTCGGTATTCCTGTCGGGAGTGCAGGATACCAGAGCGTGAGGTAATCCTCACCCCCGTTTGACGGGAAAGCAAAATTCATAAATCATGGCTTCAGGATTCTGCCTGGTAGCAAATGGAGCAAACCTGTTGGAACACCTTCAGCAGGGGACATTGAAGATCCCCGTGAATAGGGGACGAAGCAAGTCGTCATGATGCCAACAATACCCAGCCAAGCAAGTTGAGCTCGCGTTTCACACATGGAATTTTCTGAACCACGCTCTCATCAAAGAGGACGATAAAAAGACGATGAAAGGGGCAGAGACGCCCCATGGGACCATCCGGGAGTTAAAAGGAATGTACGACCCGGAATCAGCAATGCAACCGGTTGACGACTTGGATGCGTTCATGTCATTTACGGCCCCCACGAAAAATAACCCACAACTTGTTTTCCGCGACATGCTAACAACTGGTGAACGACTTAACCAAGAAGGGCTAGGTATCAACGAAGGATTTGTTCTCCACCGCTTTGTGTCCGCCCTTTCGGACGAGTACGCCATGACGAAGCATGCCCTGCGACGCACGAAAACGCTGACCAAGGAGCAAGTGATGAGCGAGATCGCAATCGAGTACAAAGCGATCCTGGAGAACCAAAAGAAACGCAACGGCGCACGAGGCGCCGAAAGGGCCTACATCGCCGACGGCGGCGGCCGGAAGGGGCAGTCGTCTAGCCGTGGCCGCGGTCGTGGAGGCCGAGGTCGTGGAGGTGGCCGCAACGGTGGCCGCGGCGGTCGCAGCGGTGGCCGCCGCGGCGGCAATGGCGGGGGCGGCAGCGGCGGGGGCACGAGGTTCCCTGGCCGGTGCTACCGGTGCGGTCACGTCGGGCACCAGATTGCTGACTGCACCACCGAGGAGAAGGACTTCATT